GTAGCAGTCTTTGGCAAATTTGTTTAGTAGGTTAAGCAATTCCATATATGAACAGAAGATCCGATTTTTTCACTACGCTCCTTAATAAGCTATATCTAGGGATCTTTGCCATATTGAAGGTTCTTCACATACCTAATTTGCCTAAGACAGACACCATTTATATGGCCTGTATCCTGTATATTATAATATATAGAATATTCAGGAAATTCACATGCACACTTGCGCCGTGCAGTGAGAAAATCGTTCACGTCTGTCCACCAATCCAAAGGCCTTGAGTCAAGTATTAGTACAAGACACTGAAGAAGTTTGCACATTGTAGACGAAATACGAGTATTTGTCAAGGATAAGCAAATTAGGTAGTGGAATTAAAATTAAAATTACTAATCCTTCTCTCTCTCTCTTTACACAGGTATTCCACTGAGACGTCCCGAATAGGTGAGAATAGCAAACCAATAGCAAGTTTTGCTATTAAAAAGAGGATATCAGAACATCTCAATTTGTTATTAGTTTGATTGAAATAAGAGTTAAAATATCAAAAATAATAACGGAAACCGTTCGGGAGCAAAACTAAATAATAGCAAATCTTGTTATTGTAATATCAAACTAAGAACAAAAAAATCAAAAAAGTCCAAAACATATTTAGCTATTATTGAGATATTAAGAACTAATCAATTGCAAAATGTGTTATTAACTAATAAGAACTAATTAAGAATAAATTCAGTTGTTCGGATTGAATAACAAAATAATAGCAGCCTTAGTTATTCTTCTTGGAGAGCTTATAATAATAGTATTTTTTTCGGTGGAGAATCAGTTTTACTGATAACAATGATTGAGTTCAACAATTCGGCAAAGCTTTTTTTTATTTGTTATAATAATAACGATAAATCAACATGAAATAAAAACGTAACTTTCTAAAAAAAAACCGAACAATGGCTGAACAAAACAGATTTGAAGTGTTGTAGTATTTTCTCTAGCGTAACTTGTGTCGTTTTCTTTGTTGTCGTACATTTGTACGCTTCTTATGATGTCCTATTGCGTTGGCACATGGCGCAACACAGGATTATTCGCCAGCGCGGTTGCGATGTGCTTATTTATTTGTTGGGACAAATGCTGAGCGACCCCTACTGGGTACTGCAAAATTCGTCTTCTCTCGTACAGCCGAGCTAGCGATTGATAATAATGATTATAACGTATACAAAGTTGAAAAGATACTATTTACCTTTCATATATTTAACTTTTTCAGGATCCATTTGAACAATCGTTTTAATGTTCTGATTTGGCTCCGGGGCTTTCTTGCTGCGTCCTCTGGGGTTGTTAGAACACCTGCCGGTCACTGTGGCGTTGCCTACGCCTCTTGGAAACAGCGAGAAGAGCAACTCTTTCACGAACAGATAATCACTCTCGTGTGCATCTTGCGATACCCTCAATAGCCAATTTGAGTTGGGGTATCCTGGGATGTCGGAGAATGATAATCCCATAGGTTTCTCCACCAGAGATTCTTGAAGCTTCATGTTTAGATGGCGCAGCTTGCAGTTTTCCTCCCGGATTTGCTTTATTTCCGCTGACATTATCTCGATTGTCCGACGTAGCTCATTCACCGTTCTTAAATAATCAACATTCGGTTCTGGTACACCAACTTCAGCATATCCCGCAAACAAACTTGTACTACTGTCTGAGTACTCAGGGCTAAAAGCAGAGTTTGCAGAAGTTGTTCCAGCAAATTCTTGGTCTTGAAAATGTTGTGGAGTCCCAGACGTGCAAGGAAAGACACTACTGCCATGATTTGCAGAAGATGGCCCTGCAGATTCTACGTCAGTAGACTGACCAGTTATCGGGACTCCACACATAGCTGGAACGATAGGACCGGTGCTAGCGGCACTTTTAGCGATTTTTCCCGGGCGTTTATTTTGCGGATTAACATTTTCCTTTAGCTGTTCCTCCTGAACCTGCAATTTTAAATTTAAGGTTAGAACTAAAATAGTACGAGAACGACACTACTCACATGTTTAGCAAAGGATGGTCCTGCAGAACATTTGTTAGTGGGCTGGTCAGTTGGGCGAACTCCAGAAATAGCTGGAATGACCGGATCGATGACAGTCGCATTTCTTGGAGTCTTTCGTGTGCGTTTCTTTTTCAGTTCAAAATTGTCCTTTAGATGTTCCTCCTGCACCAGTAAATTGAAATTTGAGGTTAGAACTAAAAAAGTACGAAAACGACGCTACTCACATGTTTAGCAGAAAATGGTCTTGCAGAACATTTGTCAGTGGGCTGGTCAGGTGGGCAAACTCCAGAAATAGCTGGAATGACCGGATCGACGATAGTAGGACTTCTTGAAATCTTTCCTGTGCGTTTCTTCTTCGGTGCAATATTTGCATTTAGCTGTTCATCCTGCATCTGCAATTGAAAATTTGGGGTTAGAACCAATAAAAAAAAGTACAAACGCTACTCACATGTTTGGCAGATGATCCGGCGGAACTTTCGTCAGTGAATTGGTCAGTTGGGTGAATTCTAGGAATGAATGGAGCGACAGGGTCTATGGCACTAGCGGAACTGTTTTGGTTTTTTTCCAGAAGTTTCTTTTTTTGTTCAGAATGCTTTTTTAGCTGCTCCTCCGGAAATGAAAAATATTGAGGTTAAATATCAGTAATTATTCTGAATTTGCAACGTACCATTTTTCCAAGGCATGCCATACTTGCAGCATTTGCTCTCTTAGTAGCAAGCTTTTGACCTTGATTTTTACGTGGATGGCCCATTTCTGTTGTTAAATTTAACAGTTATACTGATTTTTTTTCACATAAACTTAGACAACACGAATAACTGTGTGATTCACGTCCTGTTCACAACCATACTGTTTATACCAATGACGTTTATATAAGGTGCGAGCCAACAGGCAGCTTACTGGTATTAGAAGCAAAAATATTGTATATATTGCTGAGCACTCAAGGAACGACGTCACTCCCAAAACATTCCATATTGAGAACAGTGAGATTGATGTAACTTCGAATAGCTGTTTCGTGTAAAAAGATAAACATTGCAATGAAATACGATGGACCGTGATTGTGACGTCATCATCAAGATCCATAACAACAGCAGACCTTCACGGTTAGAAAAAAGTAACCAAAATTAAGTTCTTTTCACTCATCTCGGCAGGAACCCAAAAGTAGGTAAAGCGGGTCAAATTAATTTTCATTTACTTGTGTGCAGTTCGTATGGAATTTTCCACTGGCTTTTTAACCAAAAGTAAGTTAGATGTACCCAACAGTAGGTAAATATGATTATACTCAACGTTGGGTTCCCACACTTTACTACCCCAGTTGGGTGGTTTTGCTCGTCCGTTTTTGACAACATTAGTAGGAGAAAAGGAGACAAACTAGTCAAAAGTAGGTAAAAGTGAACTGGCCGTTGGGTACTTTTTTCTTACCGTGTGTGTACTGTGACATAGCTCTCATACGTCATCTGCTATTCTTCATAAATCCTAAGATAAGATGAGCAATAGGGGACCTTTGTTGAACCAGTTTTCCATCAAATGCGAACCAACTCCTGATTGCTCAATTTGAAGTTCACGTATATCGGTCGAACGTATACAACCCGAAGATTTTAACAACAGATAATCTTTTTTCTTGTGTTTTGATAGTCAGTCGTGTTGACCAGAATTAATTGCACGGTCGGTTTTGCGAGAGAAGAAGAATACTTTAAAACAAAAATGAACCAGTTGTCTAATCTTATCTTAGCATAAATAAAAACTACTCTGACTGTTTTGTTTAAAGTATTCTTCAATAAAATAGTTGTTTATTTAATTAATAAATTACCATGAGTGCGCGACGAAGACGACAATTTTATTTGTCACCCGAGTACTATGGACGGAAATATGTCAAAAAGGTACGTATGTCGGATAGAAAAAATATCAAAAACTACCTAATATCTTGTGCAGCCCAGGCGAAACATTGTTAAGGATCCCATCTGTTCATCAGGATTAGAAACTGTTGAACTTATGTATTCAGACCATGAACCTGAATTCATTGAAGTTAATCCCGCCTCGGAAAAAAAACAACCATCGCAATTTAAATAAAACGGTTTATTTAAATGATGAGCCTACAGATTCTGAATCTGAATCTGAGCACTCAGATCCAGCCTCGGAAAATACGATGATACATGACCTAAGCAATCACCACAGTTTAAATTTAAATCGATGATTCTAAATAATGAACCTACAGATTCTGATGCTGAGCACTCAGAGGAGGACGCCAACGATGAAATGTTGGATATGGCAAGTGCTTTACCGATAGTAGGTTGACCAATAAATTGTATACGTAATAACATACCTAGGATAAGTAGAAGATGACTAACTAAATAATATTTTTCTTGCTGTCAGCTATTTTCAAGCTTCCATAAAAAAACCCTTCATATCAGTATCTGGCCTAAAAGTCAAGGATATTTTTACATGGTTCTTAACTACTATGTACGGCACGGAATTACACAGACTGCACTGGACGACTTACTGAAGATGCTCAATACTATTTCAGGAATAAAACTATTTCCTGAAAGTTTTTCTACTTTTATGTCGAATTTCAAATCAAATCCTTACAATTCAGTACGTGTATTTTTCTGCATCAATTGTAAATATGACTTTGGCACAACTTCTCCAGAAGCGAATACCGAATGCCCAATTTGCGGATCCAGAGCAAAAGACTTTTTCATTTCTATTCCCGTTGAGCCACAAATACGAGAGCTTGTTACTGAACATAAAACCAAAATTGATGAGTACGCACAACATGTTGAAAAACATGAAATCGCGGATGTTAAACGTGGAAGATTTATTCGAAAAATTTGCCCACCAGGATCACAGGAGTGTCTTACGTTGAGTGCTAATACAGACGGAGCCGCCACTTTCAAATGCACGACACAAAAACCATTATATCCCGTATTTGTCACTTTGAATAACCTCCCTCCCAATGTTCGATATTCAAAACACAACTTGATTGTCAGTGCTTTGTGGCTTTCGAAGGGTGAACCAAACACCAATTTATTATTTAAGTACTTTTGCATAGAGCTACGACGGTTAAAGGATACTGGAATGAACATTGATGGAAAAATGTACTCGGTGTCATTACTACAAGTAAATCTTGATTCCGTGGCGAGGTGCAAAGTACAGAACATGAAGCAATACAACGGATTATATGGTTGCACATATTGCCTACATCCAGGAGAAACAAAAGTTTCGAATAATTCGAGATGTTATCCCAACATGCATAATGTACGCAAACGAGAAGACACACCCACAAGACAGTTGATGGAAGAAGTATCTACCACAGGCATAGAGAAGCTTGGGGTGATGGGAAAATCTGTATTTACTTTTTTGCCTGATTTTGATATCATCGACTGCTTTCCTCCAGATTATATGCACGCAATATTGCTCGGCGTAATGAAACAGTTGTGGAGTTTATGGACGGAAAGTGAAAATCATAAGCAACCTTTCTACATTGGTAACCGCTTGAAGGGAGAAATTGAAAAGAGAATGTTGAGCTTTAGACCTCCTAGTGTTTTTCCTAGATATCCGCGGCAGTTGAAGGAATATAAGAAATACAAGGCGAATGAGTGGGAAGCTGTTCTTCTCCATTATTTATATCCGGCCGTTACTAATATTTTACCAAAACAATTTCTTGACCATGTCATGTTGCTATCATCATCGATTCACCAGTTATTAGACCCAAAATTGAACGAAGCCACGATACATTCATGCGAAATGAACTTAAACATGTTTCTGCAGCAATTTGAAACACTATATGGTAAAGATAACATGTCGTATAATGTTCATTTAACGGGACACATCATCGAAGCTGTTTACAATTTTGGAGCCTTATACAATTTTTCGTTATTCCCATATGAGTCAGGTAACTTCTTAACTATGCAATAAAATTATAGATATTGTAATAGATCTCTTCTAGGAAACGGAATGCTCCTCGGGTTCCGAACTGGCAATAAAAGTCCACTTGTGCAAATCGAAAGGAAATATTATATGAACAAGTTATGCCACCGCAACTATCTTGATTTAAATCCAGATGTGAAAAATTGGATTCAAACTTTATGGTCAAAACAGAAAAGCTCTGTTCAGTACGATCCAAAAGGAATATATATCTTAAATGATAATCTTATGTTTGATGCAGACGTAGTCGAAAGATCGTTTAGCGTCCATGGTAAAATGTATTCTAAAAGTTTTAATGTATGTACCAAACAAACATGCCATGCACACAAATATGATGATTCATGGGTTTACATAAACGAAAATTTCTACGCCATTGTAGAAATTTTATGTGATCAGAATAATATTGTTTACATTGCTGGGCAACAACTGCACTCCAAAAAGTTATGCCATAATATTTATTCATATGAACTAACAAATATTATTAAAGTAATGCGAGTCAACGACACATTTCGTCAATGTATAAATATGTGCATAAAAATGAACGATCGATCATTGCAGTTTATTTCTAAATGTAAAATCCGTACACAAATTGATTGATTTATGGGTCCACATTTGAAGTATTTATGGTATTTATGTTACATAAGTCTTTAAAATCTGTCGATCATATACAGAGTAAAAAAATAAAAATAAATACCTATCATTAAAATAAAAAAAATAAAAATTTCTGAAACATTGAAATGGAAAAAATATTCACCTTACGACTAAAAATGGAAAAGAATATTAATATGATGCCAATAGAAAAATAAGATACAACATACATTTTCGACTGTTTTATGACTCAAAATTTTAATATCATGAAAATAACAAATTTTGATGTGTTATCATATTTTGTTATTAGATTGTTATTATGTGTTATGGGTAAATAACATAATATTATCAAGATAAGCCATGATAGTAAAATTTGCAATTGGTTAGTTCTTGGTTTGCTATTCTCATCTACTCGGGGTCCGCATTCATCAGGGCCTCGACCTACTGAACTACTTTGTCGAAGACTGTAACCTTTTATATGGCCTGGATGCCAAGATATAGCATATTCTGGAAATTCACCTGCAAATTAGCGCCGCGTAGTGAGAAAATTCAGAACTTTTGTCCACCAACAGAAAGTTCTTGACCTACTGAACAACTTCGCCGGCGACTGTAACCTTCTATATGGCCAAGATCCCAAGATATAGCATATTCAGTAAATTCACTTATACACTAGCGCCGTGTAGTGTGAAAATTTTGAACTTCTGGGAAATTCGAAGAACTTCTAGGAAATTCGTAAAAAAAATCGTAGTCCTATTCTGGGAAATTAGTGGAATTTCTGGGAAAACGTAGGATTTATAAGAAATTCGAATAACTTCTCGGAACTTCGAATATTTTCTGGATAATTCGTAGAACTTATTGAAAATTCGTAAAACTTCTGAAGAAGAAGAAGTCGTAGATTTTTGGGAACATTCGTAAATTTTTAAGGAAAAAATTAGAAATGCTGGAAATGTTCGTAGAAATTCTTGGAAGTTTGTAGAGCGAGAACAAATATTTAAAATTTTGTCATTACTGCATTACTGTATTCATTACTTTAAATACACTCTTAATTTCATTAAATACTTCTATTACTGATAAAATTTTATGTTTCAATAATGTTCAATGTATTTAAATTATTTTTCAATACATTAATTATCGTTAATTATTTGTTGATTAGTTTCAATAAATTCAAATATTTGCTGTTATCAAAGTTAGTAAATTACAACGATGTATTTTGAATATCACTCACTCAAACCTGGAAATTCGCGCCCCTCGTTGTAGAGCCTGTGGGAAAATCGTATAGATCTTCGGAGCAATTCGTAGAACGTTTATTAATATTTAAGAACAGTTGGGAAGTTCGAGGAAAATTATGCAAGTTCGCAGAGAATCTGGAAAATTCGTTTAACTTATGGGAAGTTTTTTGAGCTTCTGGATATTTCATAGAACTTTTGAAAAAAAAATAAGCACTGCTGGGAAGTGCGTGGAACATCTTGAAAGTTTGTAAAGCTTCTGATAAAATCATTGAACTTCTGGGACATTCGTAAAGGTTCTGGGAAACATTTAGAAATGCTGGGAATGCTGGAAGTTCTTAGAAGTTCAGTTTGTAGTGCTTCTGGAAAAATTTTAGACCTGCTCAAAAATTGTAGAAATTCTTGAAAATTTTTACAACTCAAAGGAAATTCGTACTATTTCTGGGTAAATTTAATAACTTAGGGACATTGATAGATCTTTTGAGAGTTCGTAGAACATTTAGGAAAACTAGTGCGTGGAACATCTTGAAAGTTCGTAGAGCTTATGAGAAAATCATTGACCTTCTGTGAAATTCGTAAAAGTTCTGGGAAAATTTAAGGACTGCTGGAAATTCGTAGAAATTCTTGGAAGTTCACTCTGTAAATTCGTACTACTTCTGAGAAAAATTTTGACCTGCCCAAAAATCGTAGAAATTTTTGGAAGTTTGTAGAACTCCTAGGCAATTCGTACTATTTCTAGGAAAATTTAATAACTTCTTGGATATTGGTAGATCTTTTGGGAGTTCGTAGAACATTTAGGAAAACTGATGCGTGGAACATCTTGAAATTTCGTAGAGATTCTGATAAAATCATTGAACTTCTGTGAAATTTGTACAACTTCTGTGAAATTTGTACAATTTTTGGGACATTCGGAGAACTTCTGGGAATATTTAAGAACTGCTGGAGATTCGTAGAAATTCGTGGAAGTTCACTCTGTAAATTCAAATTACTTTTGGGAAAATTTTAGACTTGCTCAAAAATCGTAGAAATTCTTGAAAAATTTTAGAACTCCAAGGAAATTAGTACTATTTCTGGGTAAATTTAATAACTTCGGGGACATTGTTAGATCTTTTGAGAGTTGGTAGAACATTTAGGAAAACTGGTGCGTGGAACATCTTGAAAGTTTGTAGAGCTTTTGAGAAAACCATTGAACTTCTGTGAAATTTCTACAACTTCTGGGACATTCGTAGAACTTTTGGGAGAATTTAAGAACTGCTCGAAATTCGAAGAAATTCTTGGAAGATCTTTCTGTAAATTCGTAGTACTTCTTAAAAAAAATTAAACCTGCTTGGAATTCTTGGAAATTTTTACAAACTCTCAGGAAATTCGTACTATTTCTGGATAAACTTAATAACTTCGGGGACATTGGGGACTTTTGAGAGTTCTTAGAACATACAGGAAAACTGGTGCGTGGAACATCTTGAAAGTTCGTAGAGCTTCTGAGAAAATCATTGAACTTCTATGAAATTTGTACAACTTCTGGGACATTTGTAAAACTTCTGGGACATTCGTAGAACTTCTGGGAAAATCTAAGAACTGCTGGAAATTCGTAGAAATTCTTGGAAGTTCACTCTGTACATTTGTAGTGTTTCTGGAACATTTTTAGACCTGCTCAAAAATCGTTAAAATTCTTGGAAATTTTTAGAACTCACAGGAAATTCGTACTATTTCTGGGTAAATTTAATAACTTCGGGGACATTGGTAGATCTTTGGAGAGTTCGTAGAATATTTAGGAATACTGGTGCGTGGAACATCGTGAAAGTTCGTAGAGCTTCTGAGAAAATCAAAGAACTTCTGTGAAATTTTGACAACTTCTGGGACATTCGCAGAACTTCTGGGGAAATTTAAGAACTGCTGTAAATTCGAAGAAATTCTTGGAAGTCCACCCTGTAAATTCGTAGAACTTCTGGGAAATTTTTAGACCTGTTCAAAAATCGTAGAAATTCTTGGAATTTTTAAAACTCTCAAGAAAATTTGTACTATTTCTAGGTAAATTCAATAACTTCGGGGAAATTGACAGTTCTTTTGAGAGTTGGTAGAACATTTAGGAAAACTGGTGCGTGGAACATCTTGAAAGTTCGTAGAGCTTCTGAGAAATCATTGAACTTCTGTGAAATTTGTACAACTTCTGAGACATTCGGAGAACTTCTGGGAATATTTAAGAACTGCTGGAAATTTGTAGAAATTCTTGGAAGTTCACTCTGTAAATTCGATTTAATTTTGGGAAAATTATAGACCCGCTCAAAAATCCTAGAAATTCTTTTTAAGTTTGTAGAACTCCCAGGGACTTCTGGGACATTGGTAGATCTTTTGAGAGTTCGTAAAACATTTAGGAAAACTGGTGCGTGGAACATCTTGAAAGTTCGTAGAGCTTCTGAGAAATCATTGAACTTCTGTGAAATTTTGACAACTTCTGGGACATTCGTACAACTTCTGGGAAAATTTAAGAACTGCTGGAAACTCGTAGAAATTCTTGGAAGTTCATTCTGTAAATTTGTAGTGCTTCTGGAAAAATTTTAGACCAGCTCAAAAAATCATAGAAATTCTTGGAAATTTGTAGAACTTCCAGGAAATTCCTACTAATTCTGGTAAAATTTAATAACTTCGGGAACATTGGTAGATCTTTGGAGAGTTCGTAGAATATTTAGGAAAACTGGTGCGTGGAACATCGTGAAAGTTCGTAGGGCTTCTAAGAAAATCATTGAACTTCTATGAAATTTGTACAACTTCTTGGACATTCGTAGAACTTCTGGGAAAATTTTAAAACTGCTGGAAATTCGTAGAAATTCTTGGAAGTTCACTCTGTAAATTCGTAGTTCTTCTGGAAAAAAGTTAGACCTGCTCAAAAATAGTAGAAATTCTTGTAAATTTTTAGAACTCCCAGGAAATTTCCTACTATTTCTGGGTAAATAGTAGCTTCGGGGACATTAGTAGATCTTTTGAGAGTTGGTAGAGCATTTAGGAAAACTTCGTAGGTTCGTAGAGCTTCTGGAAAAATCATTGAACTTCTGTGTAATTTTGACAACTTCTCGGAAGTTCTTGGAAGTTCACTGTGTAAATTTTTAGTACTTCTGGGAAAAAAATAGACCTGCTCAGAAAATCATAGAAATTCTCGAAAGTTTGTAGAACTCCCAGGAAATTCATACTATTTCAAGGAAAATTTAATAACATTCTGGGACATTTGTAGATCTTTTGAAAGTTCACAGAGTATTTAGGATAACTTGGATGGTTTTGAGCTTCTGGCAATATCGTAGGAAATTCATATAACTTGTAGGACATTCATTGAACTTTTATTAAAATCCTTAAACTTTTGAGATGTAGATAGATCTTTTAAGAAGCTCTTAGATCTTCTGAGATATTTTACAACTTATAGAACTTCTAGGGCTGATGGGAAGTTTGTAGGCGTCGTTATACGATTATGAAGCTTCCGGAAAAATCATATAACTACTAGAAAACTTGTAGAACTTCTGAGAAAATTTCATAGAAACTGTTGGATGCTTCTGAAGCTTTTGAAACAGTCGTAGAACATCTGAGAAGTTCGTAAAACTACCGGTAAATTTGTAGATCCTTATGGAAGTTAGGAAAAATTGTTGGAAGTTCGTTGCAGTTCTAGGAAATTTGTAGAATTTCTGGATGATTCGAAGAACCTATGGTAAAATTTAACAATTGCTAGTAGAAATTCTTGGAATTTCGTAGAACTTCTGTGGAATTCGTATAACTTCTGGGAAATTTTAGAACTCTTTG